CTTTCGCAGAAAAATTGCAATAAATTTTCGCGTTATTTTAAATTGAACGTTTTTTTAAGCAACAGTAGTTTGCGGAAAATTAACGAACTCGGTAAAAAGCAGTACGCTAAAAGGTCGACTCAGGATTCGAATGAAATCTCATAATCTGAACTGCAGGTTGGAAATAGCAGCGATAAGGAAAATATATATCGTCCCGTTGAAACACGCCTATTTTGGTAAAGCTCTTTATACAGAAACAGTACCTTTTTATAAGCGGATCTCCATGTTTAAAAAGTCTCTCCGTGAAGTTAGGGGCTGAGAAGTGATAAATGCTAATGAGCTTATAACAGATAAAGACAGAAAAAAAAAATTAAATACGAAAGTTACCGTTTATTTAAAAATGCACTATTTGAAATACTGTTTATTCGATGCAATTACCATTTTACAGGACACTATGGACCGCGCAATTAAACTCACAAATTCCTATTTTTCAGCAAAAGAGTGAAATAGAAATTAAAGAAAAATATATATGAAAACAAATCATCACTTAAAAAGAAAATTCCCAAAACATATGCTTTGCATACAAGTCACTATAGACCACGTAATTAAACTCGCAAATTCCTATTTTCCAACGAAACAAAGTACAGTAAAAATATAAAAAAAGGTATATAAAGATAATTACATATAAAAACAAAACAAAAATTTCCAAAACGTATAACGCAAATTTGCATAGACCTCGCAATTAAACTCACAAATTCGTATTTTCCAACAAGTATAAATACAGTAAAAATAGAAAAGAAAGATATGCAAAGACAACTCGTCATTGGCACATCAAAAAGAAAAAGAAAAATTCCCAAAAAATTTCGTACAAATTTGCATAAATCCTCAGATACGCTACAAAAAAGAAGTACAATTCAAACGCAACTAAATGCTCGTCGTTTCACTCCTGTTTCAAACACTACCGATCAGTCATGACCATGAATGTCAGCTTACGTAAATTTTCCGCAGATCGAACGAGCAAAGAGTATCAGGGTACGAAGAACGGAATGCGTGACCAGCAGCGTGGCCTGTGATAGATCATTGGACGAAGCGGAACCACCGAGCACGAGCAAGAAGTCAACGATCGTTCGCAGTCATCAACAGAGTTGCATCAACAGAGTGGCCAGGGAGACAAAAACCGCCAGTACTTTGGCAGTAGTCGTAGGTGGATTCGTGGCGTGTTGGCTGCCGTTCTTCATTCTCTACCTGGCCACCCCATTCGTGCCCATGGAGCCACCGGATATCCTAATGCCAGCCCTAACTTGGCTAGGTAACCACCACCTTTCTTCGTTAATTAAAATTGCCCTTATCGAAAAACTGTGATCACTTTATGTGAAATAGAAACAATTTATTCGTTGATATTTATCAATATTTCAGCCACTCAGAAGCCAGAGTGACTAACTCCATCGAATTAAATTTCTTTTATTAATGAAGAGGTAAGCACCAAGCATGCGCTTTGGTAAAGAAATTGGAAGAATTTGAAAAAGTCGAGTGATTCATTTTGGCTTCTGAGTGGATCGTTTAGTCATTAACCCTCTGCGACGAAGCTAGTGGAAGCTAAGGGCTCTGTAAAGCCAAATCGCTGCAAGGAGAGTCAATTGAAATCGTCTGCTCACTTTTATTTTTACACGAAACATTAAAAAAATTGAAATTGTAGAATTCAAGGCTGTAACGAAATGAATGTTTTCTTTGTTAATTTCAGGATGGATTAATTCGGCCATCAATCCATTCATTTATGCATTCTATTCGGCCGACTTCAGACTTGCATTCTGGCGACTGACGTGTCGAAAATGTTTCAAAAGTAGAACCAATTTGGAACGTAGTAATCGAAAATTACCAACTCCGGCTAACTGGAAGAAAGAAACATCAAGAACGTGAAGATAGGGGAAGTAACATCGAAATCAACACACTTCGCTCGTTGTGGTCGGAAGGAGGATCACTGTGATTTATCTGATAGCGTGACTGACATCAATTACACACATTTTCCTAATTTATTCGAAGCGTGCAACTTCACCGGAATTGGTTCAGTAACTCGGCAATATATACAACGTGCGGATATGTTTATTATTCGAAAGACAGTGATTTTTAACAGATTTTTATATGATAGTTATTAAAACATGACTCAAACGTAGAATGAAAATTCTACCGTAATTATTTCATCTGAAAGTTCCAAAGCAATGATTTCATAATTGAAGTAAAGAGAACAATTTTTCAATAATTTTAATACAATAATTTCCAAATCATTCGAGTAATCCATTTATTCGCACACTTCGAACTTGTCACTCAACTAATTGAACATAATATAAAGTGCATTTTATTCACTCTAATAACAGTGAATACACAAAAAGAAAAAAAAAAGAAAAAAAAACAGAAAGTTTCTATACCTATAACGACGACGTTAAGAAAAAAAAAAGTGTCACATTCTGTTGTATGGAAGCGAACATGCATACGTAAACAAAAACTCGCATCCACTTTATAGAAATTACCGAAAATACATAATAATAATCGATCGTAGAGGATAGTCTTCCCTTCTGTCATTACAGTATCTTGTCTGTATTTATCGACGCATAGATATCTGTAAATGTAGAAAGTATGCAAGTATACGGATTTTATAACGTACCACTGGTGTATTTCACTTCAATCCCTACGTCCTTCAGTTTGCCTCTTTGTGCTCACCTGCTAATTACGCCATACCGGCTACGCTATGCTCGTATCGTCGTGAATTAGCACAATGGAGAAATAATAATTAGCTACCTTTGAACAAAAGCTGCACTCTGTTGCGTTTGTTAGGAGAAGAAACGTTATACGTACGCAGAAATTTTAACTAGCGACGATAATATGTGGAGAATATCATTAGGACGTGTAAAATTGAAAATACTATATTTGAACGGATTGATAGGAGACGTTGTACGAATGGAAAAACTTAAACAAGCGATGATAATGGGTGAAAAATATCGTTCAGACGTGCAAGATTGAAAATATTAATACAGTGCTCCCTGGAACAACGCAAATTTGTTTTTTTTTTTAATTTTGACATTTACTTCGAACCAATTTAGACATTTAGCATATATTTACAATTTTCTTTGTCATTGCGAATAAGAGAGGTGAGAACAGTGTGAATGCAAATTCGTTCGTGTGAAATTCATCACTGAATTCAAATACATAAAGAACAGTCGAATTTTGAACAAAAATTAAAGAACCAGTGTGTCCTTGTTTCTGGGAAACCCTAATTTGTCTGTTTGCCTATTCTGCAGTTTCTTTTAAAATAAGCTTGAGATGAGAGCTGATTCCATAAACTAACCTTACGTTGAATTCCTTCTGCAGAGGATTTATTTCAATACTTGTTTTTTCTTTGTCACGATATTTCACATCTTCCGTATTGTACAACACCAATTTTTTTTCATAAAGAGTGATTAAACCGGTAATTTTATTTCTCGACCAATATTATTGCCCGATATTTTTTACACGTACGAAAGTTCCCTCAAGAATACGATCTGCATTGTGTTTCCAAAGCAACTGTCCGACAGCAGTATGATTACGTACCCCTTCCAGAACAAGTCGCGACACGTTTACTCTCAGGCAGTTGACTTTACTCTCGGACAGTCGACTTTACTCTCGGACAGTCCAGCTCAGGGGTAGTGTCCACTCGCGAGAGATACTCTCGGGAGCAATCCCTCTCTCTCGCGATAGTTTTACTTTCAAAATGGCACGTAGCTTCGTGTGTAGTTCGATCTAATACAGACAACGACTCTGGCTCGAATTTCTTACGATTGCCTCGAGTTTCTTATGTTTCACTAGCAAAAAATATCGCGAGCCTCGCGCAATGTTTTGATACGTGAGGTTGACTAGGCCCACGTACATACTTGAGGGTCACTAACACGCCTAGGATTTTTCCCAGAATGCTGCGTGCCAGGGAGCAGAATCGGGCAAATCGTCACGTACGCAGTTGCTGTCTAGAGGCCTACCGAACGAGTGCGTCGACGAACGACGTTTGTACCGTGCGATCATAGT